GTAAGTAGGTGTGAGTCTCTGTATAGGTACATACACACGGAAAAAAAGATTTGTTGCATCAACAAATTATTTACGCTTGAGTTATTTTTGTTGGACTGAGCAATTTTTTGTTGTATTAACCAGATACATGATTATACCATGGAAGCAGCTTGTTCAAATCAAGAATGTAGTCGAATTGAATCAACAGTATAATATCAATTCCATCAACAAAATATATAGTTTTCTCAAAAACAAATCATGTCGATCCAAAATAATGTCGATGTTGATTCAACTATAAACATGTCGTTGATTTGATCAAACAATGATCATTTTGATGAGAATATATCTATATATGATTAGCAATCCGAAATAGTTTTGCATCAGCTAAAGAGAAAGATTGAAGATCTATGCTAGGAGTCGACTAGTTTCCTAGTTCTGTTTATTCTTTCGATGTGAAATTTCAGAAAACTCCCGAATATTGAATTTGGTTCAACAAAACAATTTGTCGAATGGATATATAGTTTCTCTTGAATCAACAAAATATTTCATTGAATTAACCAAATATTTCATTGAATCGACCAAATATTTCATTGAAACAACCAAATATTTCTTTGAACCAACCAAATATTTCATTGAAGCAACTAAATATTTGATTGAATCAATGTTATTTTGAATGAAACAAAATGATTGTTTGCGCCAATTCAATATCTCTTCATAAACAATAATTCATGGATGTGCATGATTGAAGAAGGTCCAGAGTTCATGCAAGACATATTTACTTGATTCAAACTTCCAAATTCGCTCTGAAACAAGATATAGATTTACTCATTTCAAGATTATATTTTGTCGTGCATATATGACACTATAATTTGCTCCATTCAATTAAATTTTGTATGGTAAAAGTCCATGGTATCTCAAAGTGGAGTGAATAGATTCATAAACAAGATGACTTGGTGTGTCTTGTTCATGAATTAAATTTTGCTTGATTCAACGATTCCTTTTTTTCCGTGCAAGGGTAAAAGCAACTTTTTTCGCCATGGACGAAATTATTCGGCCCTATACGTCGTCGTTAGTCGGGTATCACGTATATATACAAATGATAATAATTAAAACGATTCAAGGCAATCAACGTTATTTGAATTTCATAAAAACGACAGCGACGTGTGCAAGAGTAGGTGGGTGGGTATGTCGGTACGAGCCTACCATTGCGTGTGAAAAAGAGGGGATATAAAAGAAGGATTGTTCAATTCAGTATCCAATATTGAATGACTCAATAATGAGAAGCAGAGACAAGAGACGCTTATATGATAACTCATTCATGGGTATAATTTCTTCTAACTTCAAGGTCTCAAAACGTTATTGTTCAATGATATGGGGTAATTTCCTTGGATGAACTGTGAACGATCTAAAGAATATAACGAGAATACCAATACCTACTTACCTCGCTATACTTACTTACCTTCCAAGCTCGTTTCACAAGAATGACTATAGGTAGGTACGACTGGTACGAGGGTAGGTATATCAACAATTATTATTCCACGAGTCATTCTAATCCCCGCAAGTCAACGCAAAAATCAAAATATCTACCAAAGGATGTCTTAAAATACCCAAATTCGGCTAACACTTGCATGTCCTATAAAACTATTCCGATCTATTCTAATTAGGTTATACAGGGTGTCCCAAAATTGCTGGGACACAGAGCTACCACGTGTAGAGGAGGTCAAAATAAGTTGATTGGACCCAATTTATTTATGTGCCAAAATGTACCGTTTGTCCGTGAGAAGGGTTCAAAGTTCACTTGAAAAAACACATTTTTGTACGCTGTTCAGGAATAAGTGGAACAAATTTGATGAAATTTGGCAATAGTATATTTCAGAGGATCACTTTCCTTTTGGTAATCTAAGAAACCTGAAAGAAATTGTAGAAGGGTTGAAACCACCCTCACCCCCTGACGTTTTCTTCAGAACTTTTTTAAGGGTCATGATACGGTTCTGAAATTTTTTGAGCTTGAAGACTCATCAATTACCTTCATTTTATCACTCTTGTAAAAATTTCGTATACCAAATAGTTTCGAAGAAAAAAAATTTTATTTCAAATAATGCTACCAGATATTCCTATAGTAATGGTACCCGCGGTAATAACAAAATTGAAGAATTTATTGAAACATTTACAGACAACGTCAACAACAAACTTGAATGACAATAAATTTGTTTCCTGTCGAAATCACGACTTGCCTTCGTTTCCACTGCCAACTAAGTTTCATATCACAATTTAATTGTAACTTGTACTATAGGAATATCTGGTAGCATTATTTGAGAGAACATTTTTTTTCTTCGAAACTATTTGGTATACGAAATTTTTACAAGAGTGATTAAATGAAGGTAATTGATGAGTCTTCAAGCTAAAGAAATTGCAGAACCGTATCATGACCCTTAAAAAAGTTCTGAAGAAAACGTCAGGGGGTGAGGGTGGTTTCAGCCCTTCTACAATTTCTTCTAGGTTTCTCAGATTACCAAAAGGAAAGTAATCCTCTGAAATACACTATTGCCAAATTTCATCAAATTCGTTTCACTTATTCCTGAACAGCATACAAAAATGTGTTTTTTCAAGTGAACTTTCAACCCTTCTCACGGACAAACGGTACATTTTGGCACATAAATAAATTGGGTCTAATCAACTTATTTTGACCTCCTCTACACGTGGTAACTCTGTGTCCCAGCAATTTTGGGACACCCTGTATATACCGGGTGACACAGTAGACATGTAACAGCCTATAGTTTTTTAATTGAAGAGATGAAAATTTGAAATTTACAAGGGTTATATTATCAATGATGGCGCTTCCCTTGAACCCAATGATAATTTTTTTCAACCACCTGTTAGATAGAAAGTAGACCAAACTTTTTTTTTTCAAATGGCACCCTGTATATTTCTGTAACTTATTCGCCTTATTCTCTATTCAACTATGTATCACAATTTGATATTCGTTTATTAATTGGCTGTTAAATTGCATTTTATTGAAATACATGAAGTTGGCTGTGGCCCGAATACAATGACATTTCGATGCTTGATAGACTTAGAAATCCAAAGATCATTGCTCAGAAGATATTATCATTATCAGAATAATTTCCATACCCTAATCGGTCCCAGAATATTGCCAAAATTTTTTGGATTTCCTTGGATTCCCTCAGATTTTCTTGAAATTCCTTGGATTTCCATGGAATTCCTTGGGTTTCCATGAAATTCCTCGGATTTCCATGGAATTTCATGGCCGAAGGGCCACAGGGCCCAGCATAATTTAAGCATAGATGAATAAGACAGCCTTTCAGTAAATACCATGGACTTATTTTTGCCTTGATAAAGACCAGACTATCTCCTCAACACTCTCTCTATATGTATCTTCTATAAATGTCTCCTCTCGTTTTTCTTTAACCTCTTGGAAAACGAGCAAAAACCAGATAATGCAATGCTCAGAATGCTCTTATTTTCTTATAATAATCAGTTTCCTTTTTTTTATTAATAAATTCAGTGTTTTGATATTTTTTGAAGTCATGTATATGTATAGTGTGGAGAGAAGTTTTACCTATAATATGCTAAGCATTAAAAGCAAAACAAACTCCTTGCAAGCTCCACAAGGAAATGTCAAATGTCCTGGAATCTGGAATGCCCCATGAACTGTGATGCCTAGTGAACTAACTGATTGGTTCATTGTTTGCTCCTCTGTTTGGACCAATTCTATTGGAATTCGGAGTTAAAATCAAAGCTCTTTATACAAGTATAATTATTGGCTGATCATCTAGTCATCAAATTCAATAAAATAGGTAATCCCAGTGAATAGTAAATTCCAAGGTAAATATCTATGAAGTATAATACACAATATTAAATCAACAATAGTAGGTATCATTAATAATTCCTCATATGCCTGCAAATTGTCTCATACATAATGAAGTGATGACTGAATACTCCTCAACTGAATAGGTACAATTTTTGTCATAACATAATACCTACTAATTGTCCTTGTACAAATCCATGTCTGCTGAATTGTGTGTCAATAGAATTGAATTAAAGCAAGCCCTTGGCCTGACCCCAATTTTCTCAGTAAATAGTCTATTTCTATTTAGATCAATAATAATTGAGATGATCCAGAGAAGGAACTGCAAATCAAGGCGTCCTTATTTACGTTGTTTCATAAAGAAACAGTGACTACTTATTGTATAAATATAGCAGCTATACAGCTAGTAATGCTAGGATGAAACTCCCACAAAGAAAATAGTGAGTTTGTGCTGGTGGAGGTCTATATTACAGTTAACACTTTCATTCATCGAAAAGGTCGAAAACGAATGTTATCCAGCTGATTATTAGAAATCATCAAATATGATGGATATTGAATATGTAAATCGTATTCATAGATAACCTTCAAAATAGCAAATGAACTCACCAAATATTCCTCAAATTGCATAAGTTGTTTCCGTCACGTCATGTAGCACTAAAAACATTTCTGCTTAGTCTATCACCGGATATTTAGGGGCGCCGAGATAATTATCCGAACAACGAACACTTTCGACCACTTTCAAGTAAAAATAATAATAAATTAATCAATTAATTCAGAAAATCTGGGGCCCTCATCCAAAGGTGAACACAGTTCCTAGAATTTCCGAATTTGCTACACTAGATGACAGCACCATAGTGACTTGTCATTTGTCCTTAAAGTTTTTTGTCGTATGTCAACCACAGAACATCAAAGTCTCCGTTTTGAGTGAGATGTTGACAGTGTTAACAAAAAACACAAAAGTAAACCACATAACGACAAATTTAAAAGCTGGATTTGAATAAACTAGCCTCCATCCGTGATCATTCAACCTTTGACGGACTAAAAAATCCATTGCAAAGTTCTTTGATTACAGACGGCTGATAGTAAATTATTCCGTTTGTAGGGATACATTAATAATAAGAAGAAGAAGCCAATGAAGAAGAAAAGTTCAGGTTATGTCACACTCAGGACTCTCAGGCTCAGGAGAACTGTCAATTTCGTTTTGCGATTTGCGACTTTTGCGTAATAAAATCGTAAATAAAGTTGGATTGGAGGAATCATATGTTCACGAATTTGCTATTTTCTTGATTTTATAATTTTAGTTCTCGGATATAATTATTTCATCAATCAGTATGGGTGGAAAACATAAGATGGCAAATCGAACAAAAAATAATGTCAGGGTGAGTAAATTCAAAATAAAAAACTTGTCCTATGAGTAGTATGAGTACAAGAATGGACTATATAATTTTCCAACTTTTTCAGCCATCCAGTAGTGGAAGAAGTGCCGAGTTTTTGGGGTCTACAATGGTTCCATTTGTGGGCTTCTCAACTATGAAAGATTCAACATTTGGTTTCTCTCTATCAACAACTGAAGAATTGGACTCCTCAATAGATCCAAATATTCAAGTTATATTCAAGAAACTATCAAAGAAAGATTCAACCACGAAAATAAAAGTAAACTTTGGCATTTTAGGTCTCTACAACATATGAATTACTACTTGAATTATTACAGGGGCTCCAGGAACTAGCAGATTTAATAAAAAACTCTGACCAGGATACTGTGAAGGCAGTGTTGCCCTTATGGCCTAGGTTCTACAATGTTTTTGTTACTGATATTGACAATCGAGTCAGAGAAGCCACACATAGTGTCCACCATCAGATCATTTTGAAAGCCAAGCGCAACATTGCCCCATTTCTGAAACAGCTAATGGCACCCTGGTTCACATCACAGTATGACCCTTATCCACCTGCTGCTAGTGTTGCTTCACAGGCACTCAAGGTGGAAATAATCAACATTATTAGTAATATCTGTAAATTATCTTCCTCAATTTTTTAGGATGCATTCCCACCTAACAAAATTCAAGAGGCAATTGCATATTGCCAGGAAGAAATTCTGCATTACTTGAGTGATAACTTATTTATACAAACTCCTCAAACACTGTGCAACATGAAACATGTTTCTGCTGAAGAAGCAGATGCCAAATATGAAAGAGTTCTTATATCTTGCCTCCAGGGATACCAATTTTATTTGGAAAAAGTTTCTGTAGAACAAATACAGAATGTAGTTGAATTGAATAATAATATAGTGGGCAATAGTACATGAAATACCAATTACCAATGATAAAAATAATAATATCATTTTTGTTTTAGGTAAATTTTGGAAATTTGGGAAAAATAAAGTAGCCTATATCAGAGCAACTTGGTTCAAATTGATATCAATCATTTGCCAGAAAGCTCCATTTCTATTAGATGGTAAAGGTGCTCAAGTTACTGGAAGTGTTTTTGGTAATTTGGAGGAGAGTGATCCAACAGTGTTACCTAGTGTTTGGGAAGCTGCCCTCTTAACAATGTCTACTATAGAGGTATTTATAATCTTACTAATCTTACTTCATGTGTGATAGCCCAGATGACAGGATATTACAGACCATTTTTTTTTTATTTTAGAATTGGTGGACTTTCATCAATGTTGATAAAGTGTTTTATCCAAAATTGTGGAAAATACTAAAACAAGGGGGCCAAGGCAATGCTGCAGTAATTTATCCAAGCTTACTTCCTGTACTCTCCCATTTACTTCCAATTGTAAATGATAGTTCATCTGAATTTTATGATAAGTTTTTTGAAAATTTAAGATTGGGGTGAGTGGATTTATCACTTTTTGGATAATTTTCACTTGATATTCTTTCAATCCTTTAGTAATTTCAAGTATGTTGAAGCTTGATATAGAAAACACCGGAGCTGATTCAGTTTATATCATCATGTTTAGAATTTCTCAAATTGTATTTAAAATTCCTTGTAGTCTCTTGGAATCATTTAGACTTCCTTAGATTTCTTTGTAATTTTCATGGGTTCTAGAAATTCTTGGTTGCATATAAATATCTGTTTTCAGTGATCTTTTCACTTGTCTATTCATTCCTATGATTTGAATATTGATGAGAAATGTACACATCCTTGTACAGTTTTCCTAAGGTATATTTTGACAGTTAAATTTCAAGAATCCAGCAGAGTATGGTTGTTTTGGTTCCTAAATCAATTTTTTTTTCCTGTTTTAATTGACATCAACATAGAAAATCATCATCATATCATCAATGAGTGAATACAAAAAGAATTTTGTTTTTTATAGTATGAGACAGAAAACCACAATTGCCAGCAAATCTGAATCAATTGCAGTAGCTACTGCATATGTAGAATGTTTTCAGTTCATAATCCTGAGAAAACAAGACAAGGAACACTTCTGTAAAACAATGATTAAAACCCATTTGCTGACTGTAATTGAATGGTGTCTTACAGAAGACCACCTGAGCTGTAAGACTATTTTCAGTAAAGTAGGGGCTTTGGTACAGTTTTTGAGTAGAAATTCAGAAACTCCAGCTCTGACTTCATACCTAGACTTTCTTTTTGAAAGTGTCAGGGATTTGTTCAGAGAGACACTATTCAATTTGAAGGAGAATCCTGACTACCAACCTGAATATGTTTCAAGCAAACAGTTAGAGTTCCTTAGGTTTCTCAAGTCCTCTGGTAAACCTAAGAAGCAATTCAAGGTTAAGTTTATTAGTGATGATGTTGACTCCAAGGAAGACAAGCTAGGCCATTTACCTTCAATTATAGAATCAGATAAGAAATATCTTGATAAACTCAATGTTCTTGTCTACAAAGTCTGCCAGGACTATGTGGAATATATCCAGGAGAAACAATCCACTATATTATTTGAACAACTCTGGTCACTGATCATAGATTTTGACAGTAATATTTTCTTTGTTAACCTCAATGAAAAAATGAGGCATAAGAATCCAGATTCCAGACTTGTAGATATTTATTATGATTTGTTGCACAATTGGATGATATCAGAGACCCAATGTTGTAAACGTGTGATGAGCTTGACTTTTTTGCTGTTGCTGTATGTTGAAAATGATGAAAAACTGAGGATATTGGAAACACTTTCAGAGGTAATTTCTTTGCAGTTTTTTTTATACTTACCTTTAACTATCCCAATTTTTCAATGAGGGAATTTGATAAAATTCATACAATCACTGGCAAAAAACCGGCCACCAGTAAATTTAGCCAAGTTGGTCGTCCGATTTTGGTGAAATTTGGACCAAATTGTAAATTCATGTTTTAGAATGTTAACCTGAATAGTAGTCCCCAGAAAAGCTGAAGGCTTTATCATTATAGAGAGAATGAGGAAAGTTACTGAAAAGGAACATTCTCAGATATATTTATGAACACAAAATATGGATATATATTCAAGAAATACATTGAGAATTCGCATTCTCCATGTGATGAAAATATCAATTCTTTCTCGGTTCAATCAACAGACCCAACCTTTCGGTTGGAAAAAAGTTCAAAATTTTGTTTAAGAAGAAGCTCGGCAATGAAGTGCAATGATCTTATCTCACGAAAATTGGGGCACTTGCCCGTTTGCATACGCCTAGGTCACTCCCCAAGGGCGGCATACGAACCGGAAGTGGCAATTTTTCAGTGTTATAGTCGATGATCTAAGAATGTATGCCCTTTGGCGAAAAAATGAATTCGGGCCCATTGATCAGTTTCCCGGCATTTGCATACGATTCCGGAGAGGGGAGCTCGACTTATTCGAACATCAATTGACTAGATATCTTTCAAATAATCGATGATTTGAGTTCCTATGCACATCTCTAGACCGATAAACTAGGATATTCTGTATAACTGGATGCTATTTGCATACGAATTCAATGTGAGCATACGTTGTAATAATCGGGCAAACCCGCGCGTGCCTCGGTCCGGCGCGGCGCACCGCACTGCAGGCCAGAGGTGCACCGAAAGCGAGCTAGATAATCTGGAAGTCTCATGATCTCACTTCACATGAAACCGGGTCAAAGATTAACTTCCTGGGAGTTATGGGGGTATCCGAAGACGCAGATTGCAGATATATTTGTAATTATTCATCAGAAATTTACAGCTCAACAAAATTACATGTGTGAGAGGTTTAGTACCAAAAAATTTTTTTTGTGATTTTAATTTGAAAAACAGGGCTTTGGAAAGATGAAAATAAAAATTGACGACAAAATAGCGATAAGATTCACACGATGCACTTATATACAGGGTTACTAGTAATCCGATTCATTTCACTGGTAAGGGAGGTGGTAAGAAATTAATGAATCTTTAATATGCATTATACAAAAGTGAATGGTTTTTGAGATATTTAAATATCGGATATCCGATAAAATGGAAAAACATTATTGAATGCCTTAATCATTACGTGCTACACTCTACCCGGCTTACGCAGCAAATCATTGTTCAGATATGAACATTGTTTCAGCAAAAAAAAGAAGAAAATACTTCAAACCCGGGATTCCCATTTCTGGCACAATTTGACAATTTGGCGCATGATTGCTATAAGAGTGCTGCGTGTAAATGATATCGCTAGATGCTGTAGAGCTGTATTCGTCATGATGCTCTCAACTTGATAGTGAAATAAAATATAGTGTTCCAGTAAAAAAAAATCAACAACTACCCCATAGTTCATTTGTTATGAACAGCCTGTGATTTTTTCAATAACAATGAAAAATCTCTTAGGAAAATCAATTTAATTGGTTTTTGAAATTTTAAAATCGGCTCAGAAACAACTAAGTTACAATGGGAGATATTTATGGTGAACCACCCTGTACGGAATGTGCAAATTGTATGCAAACCATCATCTCATATATACTGTGTGGTCCACTTACCATGGTCAAAATTTGAACATTTCTTCGATTATCGATTATTTGAAGGATATCCAGTCAAATGATGTTCGAATAAGTCGAGCTCCCCTCTTCGGAATCGTATGCAAATGTCGGGAAATTGTTTTATGGGTCCCAATTCATTGCTTCGCCAAAGGGCATACATTCTTATATCATCGACTATAACACTAAAAAATTGCCACTTCCGGTTCGTATGCTGCCCTTGGGGAGTGACCTAGGCGTATGCAAACCGGCAAGCGCCCCAATTTACGTGAGATAAGATCATTGCACTTCATTGCCGAGCTTCTTCTTAAACAAAATTTTGAAGTCTTTTCCAACCGAAAGGTGAGGTCAGGGCCGGGGCAAGGACTGGGTTGCGAAGTATGGATTTTTTGAATGAAGAAAAAGTTATTCAAAATCTGATTGGGACAGCTTGAGTTTATTAACAGTAATTCAGAACCATACTACAACCTTCTGTTTCATCTTGTTCTGAATTGAAGTGTGATCCTATTTCATTCCTTCTTGATCAATGTTCTAGATTCACGTGAATATCTCATTTTTAGGAGAAGATACAAGTGTTTTAAGACAGTATGGATTAGTATGGAATATTTTAATTTTCATTAATAATAATTCCGAACTTGGGGAGCATCTTAGGGATGAACTCCAGAGGCTCAATCGCCTTCCTCTAGCCTTGTCAGAGACTCTTCAAGAGCAATGATTCGCTTTTCAAGGACAATTTTAGTCAATTTTTCAAGACTACTCGAGAAATTTGATCAACTTGATGCCACAGAGGTTGAATGCAGTTATTCAAACTCAAGGAGGGCATACTCATTATTACCTACATGTCTGCTTTTTGTTTGTTCATTGTAAAAAAGCTTTGTTCCCGCAAGTGCTAAGAAAATGAGGTAGGAATAATTGATATCAATGTTTAGGTTGTTAATCAATAAGTTTATGTAGGTTCTGAAACTTCTTGAAACAATCATATCTTCTTTTAAAAATAAGATATCAATGTGAATCAAAAACTATTGTGTTGAAAAAGGATCACACTTCAATCCAAAGCATAATGAAGCCAAGTTCAACGACTCAATTTCGCCACGGAGCATTAAGAAGTAAAGGGTGAAAGTGTAACTTTGGTTTTTCCCTGTATAATTATCAAGTCATCAGGTTTCCACGAAAACTAATATTTAGGATAACGTTCGGGAACATGAATCTATGATTTGATCGAAATTTAACAATAATCGGATGATTTAAAAAGTTATAGGGTCAACAATTTGGTAAAATTTTTTGGTGGCCGGATTTTTTTTTGTCGGTGAGTTTATTTTCTATCAGATAAATAATCAGTTTCTTCGGCTGAATTTCTCTTTGTGAATTATGCAGGTTCCAAATGAGCAGTGCTTGAGTTGGGCCATTTCTGAAGCGTTAGCCCATCCCCATAACAAAGATCCTATTATCCACAATTGGTTGAAAACTGAAAGGGTTTCAGATTTTCTAGTGTCAATCGTCGATTTGGAAATCAATGACAAATGCCCTCCAGAACTGGGAATTTTATTGAAATTGGCTCTGACGGAAAATGATGAAGGAGGTAAACATTTTATTACACCTCATTATAGGAATTCTCTCTCGTGCGCTCCAAATGTTGAAAAGTATCCAAATAATGTTTTTTTTTATATCGATGATGTTACATACAAGACCAGGTGTTGATATTTGAAAATGAAAATTATTTCTCTACTGGTATGACTTGAAGGTTTGCAATGCTATTTCCTTCAACAATTTCAAATATACTATGGGCTATTGAGAAAATTAATCATTTCAAAGAATTGAATTGGAAGTTTTCCAAAATATTTAACGGATAATACTGATTTTTCCTAAGATATTCCAATTTGTATTTTGTTTCTCCTTGGAAATACAATTCTGAAACCGAAAGAATTTCGACAAAATGATATTGGAAAAATGCGAAAGTGTAACAAAAAGGGAATTTTCGCGAATATTCTCATTTCTACATCTGTAACATTTACTTTACTATAATGGGGAAGACCACTGAGGAAAGAAATCCGTGCAAACCTCTTTCAATCGACGAAGGATGATTTACATTTTATGTACAATCAATATTATGAGTTGAAGTCGAAGGAAATCGAATTTATATCGTTTTGAAATCAGCACATTTCATTCGATATTTCAAACAGCCAAATATGATGGTGAAGTCGTGACGTATTAGTCCCGAATGTAGCTATCTCTCTCTGATATCTCGTCATTCTGCAGTGTTGCAGTGTAATTGGTCAGTTCAAGGACAATAGGCGTGTTGGGACTAAGACGTCGCACCAGTCACACCAATGAATTGATGAAATTTCAAGGGCGCAGAAATTGTGTGTTTTGAAATGGACATATACTAATTTATTTTTTTCATCGTCTTAACATGAATGAAAAAATTCAAAATTAATTCACTGGTAGTTTTTCAGTATAGAGTTCACGATAATGTCGTTTTAAAAAATCAGTGGTCTTCCCCATTGAAACTAAGCATAGAGTATTCATTTTTGAAGTCGCCCTGTTTACCATGAATGAAAAAACAGTTATGCAAAATCTGATTAGGACATGTTGAAAAGGAATATTCTCAGATAAATTATGAACATACAAAAATGGATATATATTAATATTATAAAGCAATACATTGAGAATTCGCATTCTCTATGTGATGAGAATATTTACTCTTTTTCAGTTAATTCAATAGAAAACAACTACTTTCCTGGCTATATGCCACGACGAACATTGAATTATATCTATCGAACACACACGATAAGAGTTTTTAAAATAAAATATAAAAATTTCTGAAATTGAGAATTTGCAATCTCCTTCAGACAAAAATATGTATATACACACATCATTCTGAATATTCAACAGAAAACAACTACTTTCCTGGCTATTTGCCACGTCGAACATTGAATTATATCTGATGAACATTCAAAAGGGGAACATGAAAAATAAAGAATAAAATCCTCCGAAATTGAGAATTGACATTCTTCATCAAATGGGAATAATAATATGATGAATAATGATCTAGAAATATGACTTACCAATATATTCAGCATTGAAATGAAAATTGGAATGTATAGGAGAAGTATACTGGCATGAACTCTGATCTTGATGAGCTTGAAAACGTCCAAAAATAATCATTCATATCAGTGATATGGGAAATATTATCTCTCACACACAGGTTATATGACTTTATTGCAATGAACCCATTTCGGATCTCTGAATCCTCATCAGTAACCATGATGTCCACTTATTCTTACAGCCATTCTTCATGATATACACAATTTTCATCTCTATATAATACAACTAAAATCGAGTAAAACTATAACGAAATGACATCTGAGAAATTTGTTGACATTCTATTCCTGTCATTTGGACGTTTTTGCTTTTGGGTGTATGATAAATTGACATTCATCATACAGGGCGTGGAAATGAATTCTGAATTGAGACTCTATCACGAATCTGCGATGAAGAATGTCAATTCTCAATTTCGGAGGATTTTATTCTTTATTTTTCATGTTCCCCTTTTGAATGTTCATCAGATATAATTCAATGTTCGACGTGGCAAATAGCCAGGAAAGTAGTTGTTTTCTGTTGAATATTCAGAATGATGTGTGTATATACATATTTTTGTCTGAAGGAGATTGCAAATTCTCAATTTCAGAAATTTTTATATTTTATTTTAAAAACTCTTATCGTGTGTGTTCGATAGATATAATTCAATGTTCGTCGTGGCATATAGCCAGGAAAGTAGTTGTTTTCTATTGAATTAACTGAAAAAGAGTAAATATTCTCATCACATAGAGAATGCGAATTCTCAATGTATTGCTTTATAATATTAATATATATCCATTTTTGTATGTTCATAATTTATCTGAGAATATTCCTTTTCAACACTTTCATACCCAATCAGGGGGTTCAAACTTGAACGATGGAAACTTGTGATTTTTATAGACCTCTAATCGCAGATTCGTGATAGAGTCGCAATTCAGAATTCATTTCCACGCCCTGTATGATGAATGTCAATTTATCATACACCCAAAAGCATGATTAGGACATCTTGAGTTTTCTCAAGTAGGTTCAATCTTCAATAATAACCGAAAAACCTGCCAGTTTCCACCAAAATGGGATGCACTGTATACCAAAAGTGTAAAGAGATCAATGGAGGTTACAATTAACCCAAGCAAGTAGTCCAGTAGTCGGTTTTATTATTTTTACCGTCATCTGAGTATATATGAAACGATTTTTCAACATTTTACTGATTATTCCCGTTCTGGAAAACCGGAACGCATCAAAATATTCTTGGTTATCTGAAGGGTATACAAACGTATATTCTCTATGAATTTCTGTTGTTTTTTGATACGCCCTTTTTTATTTTTGACGTTTCATAAAACCCTTGGGCACGGGTTATATGAAACAATATTATATTTATACTACATACCCACGTGAAAAATTGAAATTGTGTTACATTCGACTTTGTGATGGGTTATATGGAACAAGTGGGATGATTTAAAAGAAATAAAAAAATACAGCATTCAGAAAACTGAAAAGAAAAATGAATTGAAAGAAATACAAAACATAATTTTAATGTATCACATTAGAATTCTGAGTATACAAAATAACATGAACCTCTAAAGAAAAAAGAACAGAAATGAGCTCTAGGTCACAGTTTTTATCATTATTTAACATATTAAATCAAGTCACCACTAAATGTATGCATTTTTCTGCACACTCTAGTTTCAGTAACAATGAAATGTATGTCACTGACCTCAACTTGTGACATGTCACAGTGACATCATTAAAAAAACGATGGGTTTTTGATATACAGATGAGACTATTTGTGGTTACTAAAGAAGCTTATAATAGCCTCAAACCATTAATTTCCCTTATAAATAAGAATTCTAGAGTCATTATTGAATAAGTAAACTTTGAATCCAAAATAGATGAGCAGGTATGGCACCTCACACCTGAACTCAAATTCTTCCATTCGATCTAAATACTTACTCAACTGATGAAAGCAAATTAAAAAAATAATTAATAAATTACCCACGAACTCACCGATGAAAATAAATACCTTTAGTATTATTAATTATGGAATTCTTACTACAAAGAACAAACCGCTTCCCGCTTCATATTTCCTAGGACTGGCGAAAATAAATCGAAAAAATTGAAATCACCAATTAATTTGATATTATATTGTTATTAAGCCGACCCCTGACATAAATAAAACACTTGCCGCCGCCTATGAACAAAATGGATACTCGGTTGGTTCCGATACCACCTCAAAGTCATGAACGACAGCTAGGGGGTTCTTGCGTGTTGAGCAGAAGCGTTTCCAGGCGAGCAACTGACCCTACATTTTCGGGTTGCTGCGATATGACTACTTGTAGCCGAGATAGTTTTATAATCTATGTAAGTCTACATCCACTGTATTGTGATAAGATGAAAATGATAAGTTCAACTTTTTTGCGTTCGTATGCTTGGAAACGTTCTTGAGATCCATTAGGCCTACAGTGGCAAATTCAATGTTTCCTTCAAATAAAGTAGGATTCGTTTGTGCTACTGCACATACTTTTTGGAATTGTAAGCGGGTATCTCAAACGCACTCATTCAACCCAAAAAACATTGGAAACGATGATAAAATCGACTACTGGATTTTACCTTTATGCATCGTAAAGCTACCATTTGCCTCAACTAAATATGAAACTCTTCACTAATAAAAAAATACTCGACTAAAAAAAATATGCCTAGTATTTTGAAAGTGCAGTTCTTTAATTTCCTTGTTCGCGAAACTTCCCTTCCTTCTAGTTTCTCCAGAAGAAACAAATGCGAAATTCAACTAAAACTCGTTTTTCAGAACTCTTCGTTGAGAGTACAGCAATCGCAAAAATAATCGACAAACTCGTACAAGTATTGAAAAATCACCCTGACCACCCAATAACTGCAGACTCCTGTGCCAGCTTAGCTGCATACGTCTCGGCGATAGTCTACACGGAAACCCTCCTCCTTTCCTACAACGATACTCTTCTGTTGGCTCTCTTTCATCTCTCCTGCAACTCCCAAATTGACAACGACATCATTTCCGAAGAAACCATGTACGAGGTGAATAGCGCCTGGCAAGATGCCCTGTCGCTCCTTGCGAAAGCTCTTCCTAGAGAAGACAGCTTGAAGCTAACCTCAAAGTTGGCAGAAGTTGTCAAGCGGGAGTTTTCGGCTATCGATCTGGAAGAGAACAAGTTGAACCATCTTGTTGTTGTCGACGTCAATGCTTTGAGGGCTATATACAGGAGTCTACCGCTTGCTCTATCAGATTTTATTCGCGTTTTCTTGGACAACAGCTTCCTCAAGTCATGTGGTGAATACATCATTGATATTTGTATGGTGGCTGAATATGTAAGGGGGGAATTGTGTAGCCCCTATGAGGATATCAAGGTTAACGCAGTTCACAAAAAAGCTGATGGTGACAAGAATGAAGCCAAGTATTTTGCGTGGACTTATCTGACACTAGCAGTTTTATCTTCGAAATTGGAGGAGGGTGCTGAATATGATGAAGAAGAGGAGGAAGACGGTATTGAAGGGGATATTGAAGAGAGAGCTGTGATTTTGAATGTTATCGACTATAATGAAGGTTATTTGGGTCAAGTCTTGCACGATCTTGGCGTTGGACAATCATATCTGGCAACCTACAAAAATGTGAGTCGATAATTTTTTCTTACATTGGTTCAGTATAAAGGACACACCTGGCTAGAGTCATTCATGTATTATCGTGTTTCTACACAACTGCATGAACATTATTGATGGGAAAATATTGTTTCCATATTACTTCTTGAAGGTTAATCAGAAACAAAAGCACAATCACCATAATAGCAGTGGCGGCTCCTCAGAGGAGGCAAAGGAGGCTGAGCCTCCACAAGAATTCTTATACATCAAATAGTTCGGTATACTTGTATAAAATATTACACCAAAATAGCTAACCTACGTTTGTTTTATCGGTTAAGTAGACTTTGAGAATTTGGCAGCAATACTTTTACTTGAAAGTATTTAGAATAAAGATTCACAACTTGGCAACATCCAAGCTCTGAAATTCAACGATTTTAAACAACGCATAGACTTGTTATTTACAATAAAAAAAGCGTGCGAAGTGTCGCAAAAATTAAGTTAGGTTCCGTACGACACAGTGGAGTAATTGAATACCAATAATTCACTATCAGTCCACTCGCCCATTATCAGCTGATGCAAGACATACTGTTTCGGCTTGCCAAGCCTCATCAGTTGCACTAGGCCACTTGACAATCGATTCACGGAGGAAACTCAAATATATGCTACAAAGCAAATAGTTCGTAGTATGACATCAATCATCAATTGATTATTTGAGGTAATTGATACATGATATTATAATAATTATCTTTTTCTACTCACATAACTAAAATGGCATTTGGCGTACGGATATGTACCACGCTAAATGATCGATTAATCACGGATTGTCGATCTGTGATTTATTCAAAATATTAAACACGTTACCATGGCAACAAGATTTCTTAAACACATCACCATGGCAACACAGTTCATTAAACACAGCTTCAGTAATTTGAGACATGTCTGGCCTGTCAATTGTATTAACTGTCAACTGTTATTTTCGAATTTTGTATCAGAATTATTCAAACAATATTCGTTTGTATCAGAATTCTTCATTAAAAATATATGCGAAAAGTAGACGAAAGTGAAATCGAAGAGAATGTTCTGGTACTTGCATATCTCCAAGAAGTGTGAAAATGAAGCATCCATCTTTGAGAACAATTTAATTATTCTGCGCTAAGCCTGACAATAAACGTGAAACAAAGGTTAGTAAGCAATGGACTGGACACATCTACAACCAATATCACTTATACGTGTCTCGCTGGTTGCATGCAGTTGCATGTATTATGTTCTCAATTCCCATTCCTTTCGAATTATTTTGTAGGTTAGCAGGAATTTCAGGTATGTTAATGTAATTTTCGGAGTTCGTAGAAAAATCATAGTATGTAACGCGTTTATAAACTCTTCTAGACACTCGTTTATTAAACACTCGCTCCGCTCTGCTCCGCTCGTGCTTAAACTACTCGTCACTAAAAGGACGTTTATAACACTTGTTACATAATATACTATTACAATACCCTTAGCTCAGAACTCAGACAATCTACTACATTATTCATGTTTAAAAAGAAATTAAAACACTACTCATGTGTTTGCATCGAATGTAAGTTCACAATCTAGTTGATATGAAAAATAGAGTGGAAAAGGCTCACGCACTATATAAAATAGATGTATATTATACAAATTAATACTTGATAATGATGATTTAAAAAAAATAATAAAAAAACACAAAGAAACGAAAAAGACAATTCTCATGATTATTATTTCGATCCAGTATGTCAATGAAATGTCTTTTAGATTTGAAGGTATGTTTACATTGAATATGTGTATGAACGCTCTGAACAGCGTAATAAGCTACATAATAATGAACTTTTTCCCTACGGACAAGTTTTCTTTTGTAGGGTTCTCGTTTATTTCCTGTATATTATTCATGTATCAAGTAATATGTACCCACTTTTGATGCTTTCGTGAAATAAGTTGATTTATTGATTGATTGATTGATCTGGATTTATGATAAACATCATTTTTTGACCAAGGAAAAAATATACCAAACGCATTTTTTTATTTAAAGAATTGGCTATGATGGTATTAGAAATGTATACCTGATTTCGTATCTGGTTCAAGTATAATATTTTCATTATTCCATTTCAGACAAAATGTTACGATCAAATATTGAACTATTATGTCCTCATCGAAGCAAAACTGAAAACCACATTAGAACTCATGGACGATACTTTCAAAGCGCAGTTGAAAGCCACTATAAGAGATAAATCGACCAAACTCGGCTGGTTTTGGGCCAAATCTGCTTACATTCTGTACACGGACATATCTCCCGAACCTCTCACCGACATTTACGCTGAATTCGTGCAACAGAGGACTGGTACATGTACTTTAGGTGCTCTCCACCTAACCCAAGTGTTCAGTAAGCATCTCGACTACGATCTGGTTCGATACAGTTTCGATGCTATCGGTGACGTCATCGTGCTGAATAGTCTGATTCGTTGTGAGGACATCGATGTACAAATTGCGGAAGTTTTCACTAAAATAGAGAGGATCAGGAATGAAAATGTGCCCAGGTTTTCCTATGCCGTGTAAGTACCCTCACTTATGTTTCGACAGTTCACCAGTTGGCGTTACTAGAGTGTGAGGTCAATGTCAAAGTGAAGAATTCCAAGGATTTGCCGGATATCCCTATAGTAGAGGCTGTGACCTGTTCTATCGAAAATGCTCGGAAAAAATTATGTGGCCTATTTGAACAAATGGTTATGGAGAGACTTGAGCACACTTGCGTTTTTTTATTCTCAATCTTTTTATCAAAATAATGTTTTTCCGCCTTTATTTAAACCCCACTGACAAACCTAACTATCAATTTAAAAGCATTTGTCCTTGAACAACAAACAATTTTCGCCTGCGGTGCTTTTTTGCTTTATGGCACCGCGAATTACGCTTTCCCCCATGGAATAAAGCTGTATACGTGCCTGTAGATCATATTAACCTCAATATAAAAAAAGTTGGAATGGCCTTCTTCTCCATTTCTTCTCATTTTCTGTGTTCATTATTTTATGTTGGAACACTGATGACAAGGACATATGGGGAAGACATTTTTTTCTCCCTCAACGCTAGTTGAACTGTTTCATCCTTACATTGACAGAGAAGAAGGTATCGTAGGAAGAAGCCAAAAGCCAAATGACACGAAAAGAAGGAGATCAGCTCGACCAACTCTGACCTCACGTCTCAGTAGCGCGATCTGATGGACAATAAAACATGTTAGCCTCCATTATTAACAACCGATTAACAAACACAGAGTTGAAGTTTTTCATGAAATGTAATTGTTTGACAGTATTTGCCCTTGTGAGCGGAAATAATGAAAAAATGCCCGCATCACTATCATAAAACTATTTGCAGATGATGAAAAATAGTGTCAGTAAACTGTCAAATTGCCTGAAGATATAAATTGTTTGAAATCTGAAGTAACTTTCAGTCAATAATTGTAAATTTTGCTAACCGTCTGTTGCTCTCCCCTCGTAAGGGTACCTGACGTGTTTCCATACACTCATATACATTTCTACAATTTTATTGAATGAAATATTCAGTAAATCGATGAAAGTCGTTTTTTCACGAAGAAGAGTTGAAAAGGAATAGAACTGTATCTGTATTCATGGAATGGCAAATTTGATGTTGATAAAAATATCGATATCCATATCTATCTGGTAATGGCTATCACAGATGTAGAGTTTCAAACTAAGGCGTGCTACATACAAACGAATTAGGAGTTCTTGCAACCATTTATGTTCTAAATCGGTTGGTTCTTTACGATTCTCATCGTGCTTATAAATTCTGGGTTCGGCCCTTTTTCTCGATACATTATTTTTGTTCATTTCAAATCTTCCAATCTGGAGTGCACCTAATAGAAATGCGATGAATATTTTTTTATATCCTAACAAAATATAAGAATACCTCTCAAATTTTGTCGGCTTGGATTCCCATTATTTTTATAGCACAAGTTTGCATCTTATTATTTTCCCAATATGTTCTCAGTCTGACAAACTTTTGAAATTTATGACATGTTTGTTGGATGTTGTATTAAATGTTTATCCAACATTTTTCAGTAGCAATATCTCCTGGGAGAAGACTCAAGAAATCATTGAAATAGTTCGATTATGTTCGTCTCTGATGAAGTATAAGTTCAATTCCCTCAGTCAAAGACATTGGGATTTTGCAGTTCTGTCTCTTGTTGGTTGGGCATCCAACTGTTTGAAGACAAGAGCAGCTCATGATAAATATCAAGTAAGTGATTCGAAACTTCTAATATTATATTTTTCATTTTATTTACTTACTGGGTTAAGTTGAATACAATTTTTTTCAAATCAGGGAATACATAATTTTGAATTTACCTGTATGTGTGCGCTATGCCCAGAATTGATAATATTTTGGTCTTGTTCTATGTAGGCTATGTAGCAGTTTTTGTGTGACCAAGACAATGTTTACAAGGGTGTTATGTAGTTTCAGGCTCTGTTGGTAGCAGTCATGAAACTGTACGTGAACGTTGATAACCAAATCAAAGAAATACAAAATCAGTCTGTGAAGAGTAATTTCATTGAAGAATGGAAAGACGTTCTTGTTGAAAGTATTCACTGCGATCTGGCTCAATTTTGGTTGTATTTGGCTGGTAAGTCTTAATATTGACAATTTGCACCCATATATTTGGTATTATCATCATGATTTTCAATATCCATGACCAAGTAGAGCCATCTTCATATACCTATATATGTATAAGCCTGTAGCCATGAAATAACCGGCATTTCTCATATCAGGAGGCTAGATAGGTTGACAATCTTTTCTGAACCTAGATCCCCATTTTCACATTCCTATATTTCCGATCACTTACTTTTGTGTTAAACATCAATTTGTTTCTACCCATCACTTACAAGGTTTTGTTTCTCAGTTGACAAATCACCTAATTCAGTATGTAGGTGTGATTTTTAGAGAGCTGGCAAAGATATTAACACACATGTCACCATTTCAATAAAGTGTAAACAGTAATGTTTCATCACAGCACTGATGAGTGTCCAGTTCCTACTCAAATTCAAATGCTATTCCATCATTGAATGAAAAATGCCAACAATAGTTGTACATGTGAGTATGAACAATGTTCATATTGAATTTTTGTTTACAAACTTGACAGAAAGGTGAATCTTGACAGGAATACGAAAAGTTTCAAGGGTCAGGATAGCTATTGAGGCCGTGTCAAGTCATTCGTTCGACCACAGTGGTGATACCAGTATGGCCAATGGTTGACTTGACTCCCATCAAAAGTTAACGTGGTAACTTTGTGACTAATGGTCAGACTTCACACTGAACGTATGTGCCCGGTCAAACCACAGACTTGACACAGCTTCAATAATAAACTGATGACACTAGCTTACTGATAGCATGTTCCGATATTCCCGAACAGTACTGCCCAGTATATTTTATCGTTCCGATTTGGCTGAAATTGACTGGCAACGTTGTCGCGGGTCATTGCAAGTAACCCTGTTAGAGGCTAAAAGTTTATAGGTCGCGTGCAAGAACTGTCAGATGACTGACCCTGGAGGCAAAACATATTTGTTTACAAGTGATCGAAATAGTTTTCCACAATTATTTTGGCATATGAATCGTATTTTTCCGCTATTCATCAATTCGCTGATGCCATCACATTGTGCTGTTGTAAAATGCACAAAAACTGCAGCGGAAGATGAAGAAATCCGGATAGTACATTATGATTCAAAAGTAAGTACCTACTATAGTCACTCACATAGTTTTCATTTTTGAAATTTTGTTATTTCTCTGATTTCTCATCGGAATTCCTTCTGCAATAGGATCAGCTAATAGAAATATACCTGAAATTTCTAGAATTATGCAAGAAGATTGGATTCATGCAATCAATCGGTAGGACTGGTCTGACATGCTGACGATCGTGTGTGTTGTAGACATTTTCAATCTATTAGCAGCATTAGCTTGTATTGCAGAAGTGGCAGAAGTGGCAGAAGGCAGAAGGAATTTTAATAAGGAATGACAACATTTCATAATGCTAACTATGTGAGATTACTATTTACCTGAAAAATCATATTCCCTAGTCTCTTGCTGCATTTTTTGTGCATTGTACAACAGCACAATGCGAAGGCATGCTTGAATTAATGAATAACGCAAGAAACACGATTCGCATGCCAAAATATTGTGAAAAACTATTTCAACCTTTTGATTCCTCTGTAACCAAATAACAAAGTGAGGTTGTGTTTCAATAATTCACAGAAGAATGAGGTTGTGTTTCAATATTTTGCCTCCAGGGTCGGTCTTCGTGCACGCGACCTATGGTTTGTCACTGGTGCAGAAATGATGATGTAGTGCCAGTATTCATGAAATGTTAGGTTAAGACTTTGAATGGTTAGGTATGAGTCGATAAAAATTATATATTATTATTTTCAAATACTTTGGGAAAATGTATGAACTTGAACTGGAAGATCTCACAGGTGGAGTAGACGCTGAAACTGCCACTAATCTACAAGAGTTATCCCACTTTTGATATCAAATATTTCACAGCTATGGACACCTTCATTTCTCCATCACTGGAACTAGAGGTACTAGAGCTGGGTGTTTCTGATGAATCAGAATCACTATCGGATAATATGTCTTCTAAGATAATATGATTAATCACCTCATCGATAATTTCAACGTGAGTAAAGAAGATAATAATGAAAATGATGAAAATAAAAACCAACAAAACAAAACATCGAAAATCGAGTGATCTTAGGTTAGGGTTATGTTTTGCTCTCAGGGAAAATTTAAAGCTACTGCTACTGTTTAGTATGGGTTGCGTGCAAGAACTGTCAGATGACCGACGCTGGAGGCAAAACATTGAAACACAACGTCACGTTTCTTATTTGTTTACAAGTGATCGAAATAGTTTTCCACAATTATTTTGGCATATGAATCGTATTTTTCCGCTATTCATCAATTCGCTCATGCCATCACATTGTGCTGTTGTAAAATGCACAAAAACTGCAGCGGAAGATGAAGTAATCCGGATGGTACATTATGATTTAAAAGTAAGTACCTACTATAGTCACTCACATATAGTTTTCATTTTTGAAATTTGGTTATTTCTCTGATTTCTCATCGGAATTCTTTCTGCAATAGGAGCTAATAGAAATATACCTGAAATTTCTAGAATAATGCAAGAAGATTGGATTCATGCAATCAATCGGGAGGACTGGTCTGACATGCTGACGATCGTGTGTGTTGTAGGCATTTGCAATCTATTAGCAGTATTAGCTTGTATTGCAGAAGTGGCCGAAGGCAGAAGAAATTTTAATAAGGAATGACAACATTTCATAATGATAACTATGTGAGATTACTATTTACCTGAAAAATCATATTCCCTAGTCTCTTGCTGCATTTTTTGTGCATTGTACAACAGCACAATGCGAAGGCATGCTTGAATTAATGAATAACGCAAGAAACATGATTCGTATGCCAAAATATTGTGAAAAACTATTTCAACCTTTTGATTCCTCTGTAAACAAATAAAAAAGTGAGGTTGTGTTTCAATATTTTGCCTCCAGGGTCAGTCATCGTGCACGCGACCTATTCCTAAATTGCTCACTGTGGCCAGGAATGTCAGCAATATCGGAACATGACCTTTAAGAATCGTGGATAAGGACAATTTTTGCCTCCGCATATACAGGGTATTTCGTTATATGTGTATAAGGTGTTCCCCGATGCATATAACCTCCAGAAATTTACGAAGAACACCAATTCCAACCTTATTTCCCTTGGTTCTCACGATGTTCTCTGAACATTACAGGATATCCCTTTTTGAGGGAACCAGAACATAAAAAAAATCACGATTCATTCATGTTAAGCGTTCGTGATCGTGCCTATTTATTTTGAATCGATTTCCAGAACAACTGGAGCAGAAAACCGATTCAATAACGTACTTACCTCTGGTACAAGAATTCGGATCTTTCCTAAACAACACGTACTACGAATACATTTTCAAAACTAACGATACGTCGTTACCGAAATGGACGAAATTCTTGAAAAGATGCTGTTCCCTGCTGGTGAATCGTCAGCCGAATCTGCAGCTTTGGGGGTACAAGATGCTGATGAATTTGGTACCTGGTCTCGTGAAAATTGACATGGAAGCGGTGAATACGAACACGCCACACAAGAAGGGCCTCATTTTCGAGCAGTTTAAAGAAAAATTGGTCCAAACACATGAAATTGTCGATAGCATGCTTATGGAATTCAGGTGAGTTGTACAGGGGCATACTTAGCGCTGATTTCACGTTATTTTTTACCAAAAATGTCAGATGATTTGTCTCAAAATGTCACTGCGTTTCAAAATTTTACCGATAGAGAGCATAAAAGAAAAACTCAATCCATAGTCAGTGACGTCTTGTGGCAAAAAACGCACCAAGCCCTATCAACTATCTGATTTTGAAAAACTGAGAAGCATATGAAATTACTCTTCAGATACTTATATGAGTAGGCTCTGATCATTATTTTTTCAAATTGAAACTGTAACGTCTGCAACTGTCAACTTTTATATTCAAATGGCATCATTTGTTTTTTTTCTGTGTGTGTGTTGTTTAGAAGGCAATTATATAATAATATGACAATTTGACTTTTGGAGAAAATCAGTTCAAATAAAAAATGAATGACAAAAAATAGATATTTTTCAATCAAATTGTCCTGACCAGGTATTTTTTTTATCGCTTGGATCGCACGAAAGGGAATCCCTATAATGTTCAGAGAACATCGTGCGTTCCTAGGGAGGATAGGGACAGGAGGTAGGTATTGGAATTTTTTTGACATTAAATCTGCTTACATCATGTATATTTTTCAATTCATTCGGTAATGAATTGTTTAAAATTATTCCATTATGAAATATAGATTGTTTGCCAATGTTTGACTTGAATGTATTTTCTATCAAGTAATTCAATTGTCTAGTCCCATAAGTATGGACTGTATTGACTTCATTAGAAGCTAAGTTTGATATTTTGAATTTATTCGTGACAAAATGAATACAACAACATATTTTGAGTTTATATAACGAAATCAGATTTGAAAATTTTCTAGGTTTGTATAAATTTACTGTTGGTTCTAGAAAATTTAGATGATAAATGCACTTAATTGATTTGTTTTGTAATTTCTTTAGTGGTTTGAGGCGTGAAATATTTTTATATATTATATTTAAAAGTGTGTTGTGGGAAAAACAAGAAATAATCAAACTAGTCATCCTTATAATGAACACAACATTAATACCTACTCATTGCTCCATGATTTCAATTCAGAATGAAATTTATATTTCGTTCCATTTATAAAGAAATGATAAGTAAATATGACTATGTTATCTTGTCATATGTCATGGAACAATCAGTGTGAATTGTGTGTTCAACAATTTTTTGTCATCTTTTTTTATCTATTTCTGGTCAACTCTAAATTTATTTTTTAACTCGACTGATTTTGTCCAAATGTCAACTTGTCATGCATCACTGTATTCTTAAAAAAAATCATGCAACTTACTGTCATAGAAGTAGACCATCTGAAATAGCCAGGTCACCCAGAAAAGTGGCTTGAATAATGAATCAAGAATCATAATCCTGATTTTTCGGAAATCTGAAAGTCAAGGAAATATTAGTACCGACATAAATAATAAATATGACGAAGTTCTCTTGTCTAAATACTGTCAGTAGGTTAATCGAGAAAGTAGAATATTTATTTCTCTAGATTTTTGACAATTTCTTTCCTCGTCCCTGTAAATATAATTAGTGTTTAGGCCTGTTCGTTTGTTTTTGCTCTACCTGCTAAAAAATATTTTTTCTATAAATTTCTCCGTTTACATTATGCAATGAACAGAGACAACTATGGGAACAAAATCAAATTTAGCAAGTTCATCAACACAATCGGATAATACTTTCATCATTGAATTGATTTATAATGACCCTTCGTTGAAAAAAATCGGTCGCTATTATCCTGATTTGCTTGGGTTGCAACTTTCTGGTCGGTTTCCATTTTTGTTCGAATGTTTTGTTTGCCGCCTTCCATAACAAATATGAAATTTTGAAGATATATTCGAATTGAATTGAATATAATACGATTCAGGAATGGGAATCTCATCACCGGTCGCTAGTTTCTGGTCCGGTTTCCTCATCTGTACAATTTTTCCGTTGAGCTTGAATGGTCGATTCATATAACACGTTGCTGGATCTAAAACATAGTTGGTATTTAAATTCGAATTTTAAATAAAGTGGGAATTGAAATTATGATTTAACATGGAATAAGAAACTGAAATATATACGAAAACTGTTTTCAAATTCCGTTGCTGAAATGCGACATATCCTTCTATGAACGGACCAGATAGCCATCAATTTTCTCCTTAATGAAAAACACTGTATATACCTAACCCATCAGGCGCCTACCTCGGTTGCAAAGAGGGTTTACCGACGCCAAGTGTTGATACTCTCCCCTCGTAAGGGTACCTGTCGTGTCTCCATTGAGACGTAAAGTTGACTATCGAAAAATGTTCTATGATATATCGCCTTCCATAACAAATATGAAATTTTGAAAAAATATTCGAAATAAATTGAATATAATACGGTACAGGAATTGGAACCCCATCACCGATCGCTGGTTTCTTTTTTTGTCCGGTTTCTCTTATGTGCAATTTTTCCGTTGAACTTAATTGGTCCATCTAGAACATAATAATATGTAGTTGGTATCAAATCTCGAATGTTCACAAAATTGAAAATTGAAATTATATGAGTTACTTGGAATAATAAAATGAAATATAGTTTATCTCAGTTATTAATAATGCGATTTTCTTGAAATTTGTGTGGTTATTGTATGTTAGAACAATGAAATATTTAGCAGAGTAAACAGTTTCATTCACCATTGGCGTCGACGTTGAGGGGTACAAAAAAGGCCTTCATTTTATGGAGATTTTCTCGAAATTGTGATGGTGATTGTATGTTATTTTTCTAAAAAAAGAAGAAGAAGCCCTTATATCCTTTTCCCAAATACTCAGAAAAATGCCTATTCTGTACCCCTCAACATCGCACGCCAATGGTTAATAAAAATGTTCACTATGTCATAGAACAAATATATGTGACTTTTGAAATGGATTATCTTAGTTGAAAAATGGCTGAGATACAGGGTGTTTCACAGGTAAAGGGAAATATTTCAATGGTAGATAGGGGTCACCAAGGTGGTTCTGAAAATACCATATTGAAATTATATTCAACAGTCTCTAGAAGAAACAACATTATATGTATTATGTATATGATTTAAAAATGATTATCTGATTATCTAATTTTTGTTTTTTTTTTTAGTTGCTCTTTCATAATTTTCCCTGCTATAAACATGTATGTTTCTTGGGAATAATAATGAAGATAAGTATTTCGAATAATTATTCATTCGTCTATAAGTATTGAACTACTCAGTATATTTTTCTAAAATTTGGTATGGAGCTTAAACTTGGGACGTTGAATTCATTCACCTATCGGGCGAAGAGAATATCCAGGTTCGGCTTCAGGAAAAATTCACATTTATTCGAAATATTAAAATAACACACTGTATGTAATAATTGACAGAGTTCATCAAAGGAATCGTGAAGAGGAGGAAAAACTGAACTGGATTTGACGCTTTTTGTTTTCCCGCCACCAATTCTCATCGTAACAATCATAAACAGAAAACTGAAAGTATGTCAATTTGAAGAGTATTGAAATTATGAAACCAGTGTCAATTATGATTATTCGATATATTTTAGTCAAAACATCGCTCGAAACAACTTACTAAGTCTCACAGTTTTTATAACGGAGATACAGGGTGAATTATCGGTTTTGAATAATTATTCACTCGTCCATAAGTATAAAACTACCCAGTAACATTTTCTCAAATATGGTATGTAGCTTACTTGGGACGATGGATTCATTAACCTATCAGGCGGAAATACTTATGGACGAGTGATAATTCACCCTGTATCTCTGTTATAAAGACTGTGAGACTAAGTAAGTTCTTTCGAACGATCATTTAACAAGAATATATCAAATAATCATAATTGAAAGTGGTTTCATAATTTTAATACCCTTGAAATTGACATACTTTTAGCTTCCTGTTTATGATTGTTACGATGAGAATTGGTGGCGGGAAAACAAAAAGCATCAAATCCAGTTCAGTTTTTCCTCCTCTTCACGATTCCTTTGATGAACTTTATCAATGATTACATACAGTGTGTTATTTTAATATTTCGAATAAATGTGAATTTTTCCTGAAACCGAACCTGGATTTTCACTTCGCCCGATAGGTGAATGCATTCAACGTCCCAAGTTTAAGCTCCATACCAAATTTTAGAAAAATATACTGGGAGTTCAATACTTATAGACGAATGAATAATTATTCGAAATCGTATCTCCGTTATGAAAACTCTAAGACCTATCAAATATGGTATTTTCAGAACCACCTTGGTGACCCCTATCTACCATTGAAATATTTCCCTTTACCTATGGAACACCCTGTATAAGCATGCACATTTTCATAGGTTTCTCCCGAATGATTCTAGATATAAAGATAGTGTAAGCTCGTCGTGACATACCCTGTATATCAAAGAAAATCACAAATAGTAAGCATTTAATTATTCAAGAAACATCATTCTATTGATTTAATATATGGTGCCAATTAGGTGCCATATTGATTCTGACCTGAGTTGGATTGCCTAATTCTTCACAGAAAGGAAATAATTTTAAAAAACTCACCTTCTTGAAAAAGGGCAACAACAATAAAATCCATCCCAGCCTAATCAATGTTGAAATATTCCTATTTTCAACAGCAAAACACCAGAACACAATCACTCAACACACACACGGATAATGCAATATAGCCACTACCTTCTTTTTCTTCTCTTTGGGTTCATTGGATTTCTGTCTCCTTTCGGTAACAATTTCTCCAGATCAGATAATTTAATGTTTTCAAGAATAAATACTTGATTATGTAATAATATTATCACTCGACTCGCCACATAAGACACCGATTGGCTATCACAATGGCCTGAAGCCGAGTCATCAGTGTTCGTAAGATTCGATCTTATAAACAAAATATTGATCTGAATATTAGAATAAAAAATGAACGTTTGAAACAAACTGCCCATACCAAATACCTTGGTATTTGGATTGATGAGAAATTAACATGGGGAAAGCATATTGACATCCTCATAGGAAAAGTATCTCCCATTATTGGTGCTTTGAGAAGATG